TGTGTGTGTGTGTGTATTAGTGTACATGTGCATTGATGTGTGTGTGTGTGTATGGTCTGTGCGTGTGTCTCCTTCACTGTGCCCAAGTTGGCTACAGCGTGCCATTATCCGTCGCAACGGTCGTGATTCCTCAGATTCTGGCACGCAGTAGCCAACTTCATTGCTACATGCCAGAATGTGTGTTTGTGTATGTGTGTGTGTGTGTGTGTGTGTGTGTGTGTGTGTGTCAGACAAACAGACAGACAGACAGACATACACACACACAGACGTACAGAGAGACACACACACACATACATATGGACAGATAGATAGACAGCATGGTTGACAGACAGACAGACACACACACCACACACAGACAGACAGACAGACAAACAAACTGACAGACACACACACCCCGAGCCAGACAGACAGACAAACATAAAAACAGACAGAAAAACAGACAGACGAAGTTGGCTACTGGGTGCCATTCCCCTCGGAGAGAGATGTCATTCGCAAGTTTCTGACACACAGTAGCCGAATTCAAGGCTGCATGCCTGTGTGTGTGTGTGTGTGTGTGTGTGTGTGTGCGTGTGTGTGTGTGTGTGGGAGAGACATACAGGCAAATAGACAGACAGATACACAGACAGACATACATACACATAGACGGACAGACTGGCAGATAGAGAAACAGACAGACAGACAGACGGACAGACAGACAGACAGACATACACACACATGCACAGACAGACAGACAAACATACAGACAGACACACAGACAGACAGACAGGCAGACAGACAAACAGACAGAGCGACAGACTGAGAGACAGACAGACATACAAACACACATGTGCACAGACAGACAGACAAACATACAGACAAACATACATACATACAGACAAACAGACAGACAGAGAGGCAGACAGACAAACAAACGCCGGGGACAGACTGCCAAAATACATGAAAAACAGACAGACAAACAGACAGACAGACAGACACACAGACAGACAGACAGACAGACAGACAGACACGCACACACATGCACAGACAGACAGACAAACATGTTGACAGACAGACAGATAGACAGACAGATAGGCAGACAGACAAACAAACAGACAAAGTTGGCTTGTGGGTGCCATTCCCCGTCCCAACGATCATCATTCGTCGGTTTCTGGCACGCAGTAGCCAACTTCAATATTGCATGCCAGAATATGTGTGTTTGTGTGTGTGTGTGTGTGTGTGTGCGTGTGTGCGTGCGTGCGTGCGTGCGTGCGTGCGTGCGTGTGTGTGTGTGTGTGTGTTGCAGACAGACATACAGACAGACAAACATACATAACATATGGAGCAGACGGACCACAAAACTTCTTTATGTTGTCGATGTATATCTGTGACCTATGTGTATTTATTCCTGCGATAGAGGTTGGACAATGCACCGTAGTCCCACGTTCAACCATTCGACATTATTATAGGTGTTCGTTGTTTGAATAAGAGGGGAGGAAGCAAAATTTGGAATCACCTTTTTCTCTGTCTCTCCCCTCATTTTTATAGATTTCTCAATTGGATGAAACCAAGCATGTTTATGCATCGAAACCAAGAAAGGAAGAAGACGAAAAAAAAAACCCTCATCGTCTCTCTCTCTCTCTCTCATGTTTATACATTCAAACCAAGATACTTGAAGAAAGGAATAACACAAAATTAAAAACGATAGAGAGTTAAAGAAAGAAAGTGAGAAAGAAAGAAAGGAGAACAAGAAAAAAACAAAAAAAGAAGAGGTTCACTAGTTGGAGGCAAAATCAGCGACAGTGTCGTCTATCTATACATATATGTCCCCCACTAGTAAACCTGATATCTCTCTCTCTCCATATAAGCCACCGAACACCACGAAGACTAACCATGACAGAAACAGACGGGACAACCATTATGCGACACACACAGAACAATTCTCAAGCAGCCTTATTTTTCGCCCCCCCCCCCCCTTACGAGGCACTGCTTTCCTCTTCTTCGCGCCTGCTCTGCTGCCATCCGTCTCCGCCTGTCTGGCCTCCATCCGTCGCTGCCTCTCCTCTGCTCTTGCCCTCTCGTCCAACATACCTTCATATTTCTCCACCCAGCGAGGCTTCGACAACCTATCCACCAGCCTCATGTCCTTGACCTAGATCGTCACCCTCTTCGAGTGGATCACGACCTCGTTGGTGTTCTCGAAATTGGCAACCAGGTACGCCTCGGCAGCCTCCATCAAAGCACGCACTGCCGTCATCTGAAACCTCACGCCCACACCAGGAGCAATGGTCTCCTCCACAACCTCGCGCACGATCCCCAAGAATGGTCTGAAAGCCAAGCAGAGGTCGGTGGATCGTTGCAACTTTCTGATTTCCGCCAGAGTTGCCATCCCGGGGCGTCGACGGCGTCTGTGGGGCTGACTGCGTGCATCTGCAGTGTCATCGGTGGCTGGCACGGGCTTCGGGCTCTTCTTCTTTTTGCCTGCAGCCGTCTTTCCAGTTGGCGGTTTTGACGCGCACTTCTTCATCTTTCTCGGGCTCTGGGACATCGCAGCGTGACTTGGGCCGACCGTGTCCCCCTGTGCTGCAGAGCACCCTGCGCTGCCACCAGGACCACATGCGCCCTCCACCTCAGCAGACAAACAGAAAATTCCGGAGCGCTTCTCTGTCCTCTTGCCCTTCCACGTCAATCCACCTGCCAAGTTGTTCTCCACGACATACCGAACGTCTCGCAGGAGTCCATCTGAGTAGGTCAGATGGAAAGGCACACCAAGCGGGTCTGTGAATGTCATGGTGACATCTCCACTATGCTTGTACGTCATGGGACATACGACTGGGACCCAGTCAAGAAGGGTCGTGCAACGGTGCCTGCGGCGAATGTGAGCCATGTATATGTTCTCACCGTCGCCGTGCTCTTGCCCAGCGCAACTCCCCTCAACCATGGACCACATCCCCTGGTCTGCCATGGAGTCGTAACCCGCACACACCATCTAACGGTCCTCCTCCCTGATCTTCTCCCAACAGCGCTTTGCGTGTTCAACCAGCAGCACGTGGTCCTTAACATTTACATTGAAAATTGAGACACGTGCCAGAACAACCAAGAACTGTCAATGCTCCACAATGCCTGCATGCATCCATCCCAATGGGAGCCACTGCCCTGACTGCAGCTTTGCTGCCATCGTCACCTTGTCATCAACCACTGCAGGATGCAAACATCCCGGGACCCAATTGACGTGATAGCCATACTTTTCAGGGGCCATATGCTGCTGCAACTGTCCCTCGGGGATGACATGGGCCCCAATGTCCGTGGCAGTCAAAACGTCACGCCTCAATGTGACATGGTCCCATATCTGCGACCATAGTCCATCATACGTGGCTTTCTGCCCTCTTACAGCTGTGTATGTGGCACCATCCTCACCAGAGAACAGTTTCCCGTCCACCACCTCCAACTCCATAGGGTTCCGAAGCGGCGGGAAAAAGCACCCAGCAGTATGAGGGGGACATGTCATTGCCTTCTTCTCCTCTTCCGNACGGTCCTCCTCCCTGATCTTCTCCCAACAGCGCTTTGCGTGTTCAACCAACAGCACGTGGTCCTTAACATTTACATTGAAAATTGAGACACGTGCCAGAACAACCAGGAACTGCCAATGCTCCACAATGCCTGCATGCATCCATCCCAATGGGAGCCACTGCCCTGACTGCAGCTTTGCTGCCATCGTCACCTTGCCATCAACCACTGCAGGATGCAAACATCCCGGGACCCAATTGACGCGATAGCCATACTTTTCAGGGGCCATATGCTGCTACAACTGTCCCTCAGGGATGACATGGGCCCCAATGTCCATGGCAGTCAAAACGTCACGCCTCAATGTGACATGGTCCCATATCTGCGACCGTAGTCCATCATACGTGGCTTCCTGCCCTCTTGCAGCTGTGTATGTGGCACTATCCTCACCAGAGAACAGTTTCCCGTCCACCACCTCGAACTCCATAGGGTTCCAAAGCGGCGGGAAAAAGCACCCAGCAGTATGAGGAGGACATGTCATTGCCTTCTTCTCCTCTTCTGACACCTCCCTGTTGAGATGCCTGAAGGAGAACCTGTCATTGATGTAATGCGTGTTCCAGACATTTCCCATGGCATCACGCATCTGCATCCTCACCCGGCCACATGTAATCAGGATCTCATATAGCACCAAACCCCACCTAGGATCCCTCCTTGCATCATTCTCGGGGCACACCGTTCTCGCTGCTGCATCGTTCCCACTAATCACCCATGGCGTTCCGCAATCAAAACTGTCGTACAAAAAATCGTTAAGCCTGAACTCACCCTTCGCCTCCAGAACACGCCACATTTTCAACGCATGTTGCCCTTTCTCTCGAGCTCTTGCCGCATCATTCAACCTTATAACTCTGTCAAACACGATTGATAGAGTCACGTTTCGCCATGCGCTTGTTTTGGGGACAGGAAATGAAACCCACGTCCCAGCCACTTTGAACGCGAAGTAGGGTACTCTTCCAACAATACCCGGTTGAACACGACCAGACACCCAATTGATGTCATATGGGAATTGTTCTCCTGCTAATGTCTTGACCACATTTTCATCCTCAACAATACACCCTGCATGATTTTCTCTGCTCCCCATACCTCCCTCTCCTCTCTCTTCCCCAACCTTTTCCGTCTCACAAGTGCTCCCTCCTGCATCATTGTCTGATTCATCACCATCACCCATCATCTCTGCAGTCTGTGCATATATTGTTGCCAGCACGTCTACACAGTCAGTGATGTTCATCTCATCCGAATTCCCTTCCTTGCTGCCATCTGCAAGACCCTTCACAATGTCCTCTGTCTCCATGGCGCAAGTCTCTCCAGCGTTGACAGTCGATGCAATCGCGGGTTTCATCTATTGCATGAGACACCACGTACATTTATGAGAACACGTAGCTCCGCTATGCCCCCCTTACCCGAGAGAGAGAGAGAGAGAGAGAGAGAGAGAGAGAGTTTTTTGACAGTAGAGAGAGGTTGCTTACTGCGGGCCATAACTCCAACAAACATCACATTATTGCCAAATACAGACGAAGTAGTGAACCTCTAACAGAGAGACATGCATAGATACAGCAACAGCACGAGGTTCACTACAGCGGGCCAGAACGACAACAAACAGCACCGGTTAACACTTGGAACGCAGTAGTGAACCTTCCGTAGTTGGGAAACTACAGCGTGCTACCACCGCGAGGTTCACTACTGCGGGCCATAACTCCAACAAACATCACTTAAGAGACCGAAATTGGCTGGCAGTAGTGAACTTCATGCTGTCGGACAGACTGTGATGCATAGACAGAGGGCGGTTCACTACTGCGGGCCACAACGACAACAAACAGCACCGGTTAACACTTATATGGCACGCAGTAGTGAACCTTCCCTAGTAGGGAAACTACAGTGTGCTACCACCGCGAGGTTCACTACTGCGGGCATAAATCCAACAAACATCAGTTGAGAGACCGAAATTAGCCGGCAGTAGTTAACCTCATGCTGTCGAACAGGCTGTGATGCATCGACAGAGGGCGGTTCACTACTGCGGGCCAGAACGACAACAAACAACACCGGTTAACACGTACATGACACGCAGTAGTGAACCTTCCGTAGTTGGGAAGCTACAGTGTGCTACCACCGCGAGGTTCACTACTGCGGGCCATAACTCCAACAAACATGACATGAGAGATGAAAATTGGCCGGTTGTAGTGAACCTTGTGGTGTCGGACAGACAGTGATGCAGCGATAGAGGGCGGGTCACTACTGCGAGCCAGAACGACAACAAACAGCACCGGTTAACACTTACATGGCACTCAGTAGTGAACCTTCCGTAGTCGGAAAACTACAGCGTGCTACCACTGTGCGGTTCACTACTGCGGGCCATAACTCCAACAAACATGACATGAGAGATGAAAATTGGCCGGCAGTAGTGAACCTTGTGGTGTCGGATAGGCAGTGATGCAGCGACAGAGGGTGGTTCAATACTGCGGGTTCAGAACGATAACAAACAGCACCGGTTAACACTTACATGGCACGCAGTAGTGAACCTTCCGTAGTTGGGGAACTACAGTGTGCTACCACCGCGAGGTTCACTTCTGCGGGCCATAACTCCAACAAACATCACTTCAAAGACCGAAATTGGCCTCCAGTAGTGAACTTCATGCTGTCAGACAGACTATGGTGCATCGACAGAGGGCGGTTCACTACTGTGGGTCAGAACGACAACAAACAGCACCGGTTAACACTTACATGACATGCAGTAGTGAACCTTCCGTAGTTGGGAAAGTACAGAGTGTACTCTCACGGAAGGTTCACTACTGCGGGCCATAACTCCAACAAACATCACTTCAGAGACCGAAATTGGCCGCCAGTAGTGAACTTCATGCTGTCGGACAGATTGTGATGCATCGACAGAGGGCGGCTCACTACTGCGGGCCAGAACGACAACAAACAGCCCGGTTAACACTTACATGGCACGCAATAGTGAACCTTCCGTAGCAGGAAAACTACAGTGTGCTATCACCGCGAGGTTCACTACTTGGGCCATAACTCCAACAAACAGCACTTAAGAGACCTTAATTGGCCGGCAGTAGTGAAACTCATGCTGTCCGAGAGGCAGTGATACAGCGACAACGACGGTTTACTACTGCGGGGCAGAACGATAACACAAAGCGCGAGAGGAATATGTACATGGCAAGCAGTAGTCAACCACAAGTATGTGAATGCAAGAGAGAGAGAGAGAGAGAGAGAGAGAGAGAGAGAGAGAGAGAGAGAGAGAGAGAGAGATCACGCGTTCCTGACCACCCGCGCTGCCATGATTTGACATCTAGTGTAGAGAGTTTTTAAGCGGTCGTGGATGTGTAGTCCTTTCCTGCAATGCTCACATTTCTGATTCCCTCCATGCTGCCCTGCGTTCGTAAAAACCGGTGCCATAATCTCTTTGATGTATGATATGAGATGGGACACACAGTCCGCAACCAGCCTCGCCATTTGTCGAGAATTCGCATTTGCAGCAAACTTTTCGAATGTTGCCGTCGTCATTGGCAGCACAACAGATTCTGCATCAGCAGAAGGTGCTCTGCTGGCAACGACACAAGGGAAGTTGTGACGAACCTGGTGACAGTTCAGTGCTGCAAAATCGGTGCATACGAGCACGGGATGCGGCGCAGGCGCAAGTTCCACGACACTGGTCTCGATCCCTCTGGACGTTTGCATTGTTGTGTCGAGTTCTTCACTCGCCTTCGACCTTTCACCTTCTGCACTTCCCATGACAACTTCATTCACACATGTCACCGTCAGTTCTCCACCCAACAACCTACCTCGAGTGTGTTGGAGGGCATCCATGACGTCCGCGCAACTGCTCAACAGAGACGCCATATTGCTAGGAAGGTCATCCTTAACAGACGTCACACCCTCGTCACAAAGACCGTATTCTTCCACGGTTTCCATACAGTGCCAAATACAGTCTTTTGCGAAGGCCAAGAGGTCAACGACACTGCGTACCGAAGCAGATAGCGAACCTGTAGTATACGCTTGGCTATCGTAGGATGCCCACCCCTCCTTCAGCACACACTTGCCAGGGCTGGCACAAGACGCGACATTCCGTCGTTGTGATTCCCCCTGAGTTCTCTCTGTGAAATGGGCTGCGAACCGATTCAAGACCGTAGTGCGCCTGCGCCTTTTAATATCCAACCATGTCTGGAACTCATCAAACGTGGTGGTCTTTGTTTCAGTTATTGCCTTCAGTCTCGCAGACATGTCCTCCCTCAGACGAATTATGTCTAAACATTTAGGATCATTCAATAACAACCAGAACACGGTGAACATCCTGTGTTCCGCAGTTTCTGTCATTTCGCCGAGCAGTGACTTAACACGGCCTAGTTCGTTCGAGAACACTCTCACCAATTGTTTCTGCTTATCCACCTCCTCTCTTAGCCTGTCTATATGTTCTCGCTGTTTGTTTACTATACGACCCTTGTTGGGTTCCATGTCAGTCGTCTTATCTTCTTTGGCCCCCGGTAATAGAAAGTCATCCGCCGTTGCATGACACTCTTCGCCCGACTTTCTCTTCTGTCCGATTTTGGCCACTCTTGACATCTGGAAACGGTTGTATATACAGAGAAATACGTGTGGAGAGAGAGAGAGAGAGAGAGAGAGAGAGAGAGAGAGAGAGAGAGAGAGAGA